TTGACAGATTATCCACTACGGAATGCCAGAATTGAGCTATCAGCTGCAGGGATAGCGGCGGATCATGTTGTGGGACTTTTTATTCTTGCCTTTCATCTTGCCGCTGGTTTATCTAAATTGGGCCACGAGCGCCCCGTGCGGTTTTATGACGCTGTGGAGGAATGTCTGCCGGCAATTTGTAGGCGACGCAGGGCACCTATAAGTTTTAATCGCACCTCGGCTTGACAGCCCCATACCTTCCCGATAGACAACGGCCAGTCTACCTTATTGGAACATACACTTGAATCACATTTTATATTGTGTCGAAGAAATAATTTATATTTTATTTCTTCAAACTTCGGCCAGTAAATCTTTTTATCGTCTTGACGTTTCGACAAAAATCTTTTGTTCTCGTCAGGAGCGAACAAAATTAAAACATTTGGCAAAGCGTTAGAAATTATTCTATAATTTATATATATATATATATTAAATTATATAATATAATATATATTATATATATATTAAATTATATAATATAATATATTATACTAGACGAATGGCCCGGGCAACGCCCGGGTTTTACCCGAGTGCGTATATATTTTAAAAACGTTTTAATTCAAATAATATTCGTTACAATTATAAATTGGCGCCATAGATGTCACTCTTGTGAAACGTCCCGTTCCAAACTGTGTGTTTTTAAAATGTTTTAATAAAAATACTATTCGTTACAATTATAAATTGGCGCCGTGGATGTCTCTCTTGTGAAACGTCCCGCCCCAAACTGTGTGTGTCTTGAAAATATAAAAATAAATAGGTGAATTTTCATAAAGATTTCATCATGTCGATTTTTTTTTGCATTTCACCTACTAAATCATATATTAACTTTATGAACGGAAAAATATGTCCAAGGTAGCCTAGTGGTCATGGCATCTGCCCGGTAAGCGGAAGGTCGTGGGTTCGATTCCCATCCCTTGACACTTTTTTTATTTTATCCATTCTGACCAAAATCTATCCGTGAACTTCACACAGTGAACTCCACACAGACAGAATAAGGCAATTATATAAGTAGATTATAAAGATAGAAGCTTTTATAGAAATAACTAAAATAAGGCGAAATAGCTCAGTTGGGAGAGCGTTAGACTGAAGATCTAAAGGTCCCTGGTTCGATCCCGGGTTTCGGCATCTTTTTTTAATTTTTACTTACCGTAACTTGACACGTGACCAAAATCTATCCGTGAACTTCACACAGACAGAATAAGGCAATTATATAAGTAGATATATATATAAATAAATAATATATATATATATATATATATATATATATATATATATAAATTATAGAATAATTTCTAACGCTTTGCCAAATGTTTTAATTTTTGTTCGCTCCTGACGAGAACAAAATATTTTTGTCGTAACGTCGAGATAATAAAAAAAGATTTACTGGCCGAAGTATCTTTTATTTGAAGAACTATGAATGCTGGACAGGCAGCCTCTATCTTTATATTTTATTATTCAATGAAAATATTTGAAACAGATTTATTATATTTTTAAATTCATCATTTAGCTTACTTGCTTGATATTCTCTAGCTGTAGATAGTTTGGTTGATAATTGTCGACTAGTCGTACTGACGTCATCAATAAATACTTTTACATCTTAAGATTGGCCTCCCATGCTTACCCTCTGTACCTGGCCTGTGGTGCAGTGGACATTGTTGGGAGGTACAGTAAACCTTCTACACGATCGTATCAAGTGTTGTTCTGGTAGACTTGATGCTGCAACCAGGAGGGACACTCCCTCTTTAAAAATCCTGAGTTCAACTGACCCGGTTGATGGGCCTCAGCAATGGTCCCACTCCAGCGATACGAAGGAGCTGCATCTGTACTCATGTTAGAGTTGACAGTAAAGGCTTCCATGTTAGGAATGGCCTCAAATTACAGGCAAAGTCAGACTTTCACCAAAGTGTACCTGGATCATGGTGCCATGATCAATGAAAGCTGCACCCCTATACCCCATTCCATGAGATCATGAACTCATGGAATTTGTGTAATCTTTACACAAGGGGATAAGAAACAACAACAACACATCTTAAGATATTCCAAGACTTGATTTCTACGCTACAATATCATTAGTCTTCGTAAAGACAGAGGCTGCCTGGCTGGCATTCATACTTCTTAAATTTAAAGATCCTTCGGCAAGTAAATCTTTTTATTATCTCGACGTTTC